CATTTTTTAGTCTATATTGAAACGGTTTTGTTTGTTTTACGCCCTCAACAGCACACACAATACCATCAAGTGCCTTATCCGATCTCGATACTTGTGCATGCCGCAGCAGCTACCCACCACATTCTTGATGATCTCGTTCGAAATACTAATTTAAAAAAAATATTTATTAATTTTAATCGATAGTTTTAATGTCCGTAAACGGCTCCAAGGAAACTTTTAACGCGATTTCGTGTTTTAAAATCACTTACATAAGTTGGATACTTAGATACACTGATAAAGGATCTCATTTCTAAGCGACTCCGAGTATAAAAACAATATACTATGTAATAGTTTTTCAAATATAACGCTTAAACCCTCTAAGCAAATTTTATTTTAGCAAATCCTATTGAAACGTACACTTCAACGAATTTAATCTAATGAAAAAAGAGTGTTTTTTTAATTTTGTAGACATTTTCAGTAACACTTATTAATATCATCTTAGATTACGCAATAAATTGTCTAAACTAAACATTGTGCGATTATATTATTGTGGTAAAATTATTAACTACATACTATTATTTTATCAAAACGTTAAACAAAATTGTTAACATTATATCCAATAATTACTACAATAATTACACTATGTATTTCTTCTTTTGTACTATGAAATACAATTTATGAATAATTTTTTATTACAGACTTTCATTTGAGTTCAAATTATATTTATCAGAAAGTTATGTAAATCATCAAATAGCTTGTAACGTGAAAGGTTTAAATAATTTATTAATACATTTATTCAGTTGTGAAAATACACTTACAGCGAGTTGAACTTTGATTAAAAATTATAGTGTTATTACGCACAATGAAGTGTTAAGTTATTGAACTTTTATGTAAACCATGCAATTATCACAGTCATAAAACATATCCAGTAGTCTTCAATGGAATAAATAAAATATAAAAGTGTAATATTGAACTCCAATTATGTATACAGAGTCTTCCGTATATCATAAACGGAAGTTATGACGATATTAAATATTAATTGGGTAGAGGTACGAATTTGATTATTTATATTAGACATTTCTCTGCCGTCCAGGTACAAAAATGTTAATAAATTTCAAAATACTGGTCCAAAACATCTTATCAATTCGTCGTTTTCTTAATTTTCTATTTTATTAGCTAGTTAAATATGTATATTGCGTTTAAAAAATAATACAATTTATACCCGTAACAAAATCAACATTATTTTTTAACAATATTGTACTTATTTTGCAAAAAATTGATTGGTTAAACGGGTAACTCTGTATATTAATTCATATACATTTGCTGTGGATAAAAAACTTGAATGAAAGAAATTTATGTGTTGAAAAATAATTTCCATATCAACATATTGTTAATATATACCAATAGAAACGTTCGCATTTAGTTGCAATGACGTATCAGCAGTTAAATACATAAAATGTGTGATAAAACAACAGTAGTGCCCAGTAGTTTCCTAATAACGATCCGAATATATGCACATTTCATTAATTGCTCGCCAACGCGACGATTTATTTATTTTTAACCGTTCTTTTCTTGTAAACGCCTCCATTCCAGTCGCACCAGACTAAATATCTTTAAATAAGCTCTGAAATCGGCTAAAAGCCGATGGACCTGACTCTCGACAACGCCATGTGACTGAATTTCATTATCATAATAGTATTAGCCCCTTCGATGACGACAAACGCTGTTTTCTCAGTGGAGGTAGTCGTCGTCGCCTCTGTTGTCGTTGTTCATACATTATAATCTGACGGTGGCAATCTGTGACAAGGACGACTGTGCCTGATACCGTCCGGGTAATTATTATTCATTAAAACTCATCGAAAATAAATTTGTCCACTTACTACACAAGCTACATAAGCGCAAGAATAAAAAAAAAGTGAATAAGAATTGAATGAAAAAAAAATTCAGTGCAAAATTATCATAAATAAACGTCTAGTGGAAGACCGGCGTGGGTCGGACGCATTGCACGTAACCTCGTGGGTTTCGAGTTGTTTTGGTGTCACGAGCAGATTTATTTCTCCCCTGCGAATTATGTGCAAGCCAATCAATTACGTCATTAACCAACTAAATATAAAGCCAGTCGATTTAAGTTTCTTTTTAGCATCGATGCGATTCTGAGAAGGTTATGATGTGTTTTTTTGGATTTGTTACCACTTCTTCTCAGCTCCTATCGAACCGATTTCTTTCTGTGATACGTCAAAAGATCGCAAATTGTATCTAATCGAAGACATTACCGTCAAAAATTGAAAAAAATTCCCTCTTTCCCCGTAAATGGTGGATATTACAATTTTTAAAATCAGTAATTTTTTTCTTAAAACTACCATAACTTTTTTTAAAATGAATGCCTTTAGATACCTTAAATATTTACCTACTATTTGGTATATTTTTGTAAAAATTTGACCCTCTACCTGCCTACAGAGGGGGTTCAAATTGGCAACTTTTCCACAAAAACATAATAATAGTATTTTGCAAGTAGACCATTGTTGTTCGTAACATGTAATAATAAAACAGCGTAATTATTTTAAAGCAGAAATATCTTTAGAAGTAAGTCTAAATTGATGCCACGTGAAATAATAAAAAATCATAATTTTCATCGTAATAAGTTCAAATTGTTTTCATTATGGTGAACAGTGAAATGTCACATAAAAGCTGAATTGTTTAAAATAATGACCCACATGCTAATATGTGAATTTAATATGTGAATAAATGAATTTCTAGGAATCCTGAAATGTGATTTAAAATCAGGGTACATTATCCATCCTGATTTAAAATTAGGGTGGATAATGTATTGCTTTCTTACAACTATCAATTGTTAAGCGTATTATATTATTTGACAGTATTTCTGTACATTTTGGAATAAATTGATCGTTTTTATTGACTATAATTATGTCAGGACATATAAAGACTATTACGGTCCATCTGATATACAATATTATTTTGATTAAGTAAAGATTTAAAAGATTTTTTTCATTGATGCGTTAAAAGATGACAAATCATATCTAGTTGAAGACATTGCTCTTGAAATTTTCCCTAGTTCCCCGTAAATGGCGCCAATTCCCCAAAAAATTACAATTTTTAATTTATAAATACCTTACGTTTGTCCTTTTCATTTGATATAAATTTTATAATAATCTGTTCTTTTACCTGCCCACAGAGAGGATTCAAAATAGCAACTTTTTTTACAAAAATTAACTTAACTTTTTTAATGTTCCGAAAATACTACGTCCTTTAAACATATGTCAAATTAAAGCTATAAATAGTTACGTACTGTGAATTATACTATAAAAAAAAAATTGTCCCGACGACTTCTACGTGCAAACGTCTGCTATGGTTAAAAAACATGCTATTTTTGTGTTCAAATATTTTTGTTTGTTTATTATGAAATATCTTATAAGAGTTTGCCATAGGTATATATAAGTCCACCAATAAAAATAAAATTTACATGAATCTAACTTACATTAAATATAAATTTATACTTATTCTGTTTATTTTGCCTCTTCAAAAATAGAAAAGTTCTTTAGAATTTTTGAATACTTGAAAATTTGTATAAAGAGTAGAACTTTTTCTACTTAACTTTAGTAAATGTTCCAGAAATACTATTTTTTAAATATATATTAAAATGAAGCTTATTTTATGTACCTGAAGTTCAAAAAAAAAAAAAATTTGTACCGTTGACTTATTTGCTATGTACAAATGGCAGTCGAAGTAGAACAAAAAAAATAGGAGTTAATTTTGCTTTTGGAATAATTTACTATTTTTTTCTTAAAATTAAATACAATCTACTGATTTGCATCGAATCGTTTTTTTTTTATAGTGATTTGAATGACTGTCAGATATCATAATACTTGATCCAACTCCACGTCAGCACTGTGCCGCGACCCCCCTGTCCTGGGTATTTTCCTCATAAATATAATTTAGCTCCCAGACGATATATTTTTTCATCGATTTGTTTTTTTATAATGAAAACGAATATGTAAAAAATATCTGTCAAAAATAGTTAAACTTTTATAGCACTTTATGTTTGAATATATAACGCTGTACATGCGCGAGTGATTGATAACGTTATCGGATCACTTATATTCATTTAAAAACCATAAATTTGATAATATCTATTTTAAATCCAAATGTTAATAAAATTGAATACAAGTAAAATTGTTTGCGACGCAATTGAGCTTGAATTTGGCGCGTGCTCATTAGGTTGTTCGTCTATTCCCATCCTATTAATCTCTTGGTTGTTAGATGGCCGCTTATCAAGTGGTCTACCCACTGACTTTACATAATATAAGATGTACTATTGTCAATAATAGGTTAAGATATATAAGTGAAACTTTTTGTTGATGTACTATGAAAATGTAAAATTGATATATTTAGTACGAAAGATTACATTGTAAATTGTTCAAAAACTTTAATAACCATTTGTTATGTTGTGGGATTATTGTATTCAAATGTGCTGGTAATAATAATATTTTTTATGTTTTTATATACCACACGGATAGTTTAATTAAATTGTCACACGGATGACAATGGCAAATTTTTAAACCAAAAATTTTATAGATAATTTTGTTGTATATTATGTAGATATGCAACTGACTATTGACTTTAATCAATCTTTGTATTTATTAATAGTCACATTAATTGTTATTGATTTATATTTATTGGTATTAGACAAAGATAAAGATAAAGATATGGTAAAGATAGAATTAAAATTAATATATTATTATATAATTAAAATGACCTCAGTATCAATTGTCAACCTTATACCTATTACATTTTAGAATTGACCCATTTTGAATTATACACATTTTAATAATTAAATGTTTACTATATTATCGTTATAATGATACTTTTAGCGTAAAATACAAATCGTACGAAACATAGCCAGATAATAACACCGAAAATTTTGAATCAGAGATCCAGCTAGGGTTGGGTTTATAGCACCTTGCATATGGTTAAGATAGACGTAAAAAAAATTGATGATTAAATTAGTTTAATTTATTTAAACCCAACTCTTCATAGTAAACTTTTATAAATTTTTTAGAAAATACAATAAGTTCGTTACAAGCAGATGAAAAATTGTCGGTACTTATTGACCCAGATGTGTCAACATTTAACACAACATTTTGTAATGGAAAGTGTTTTTCATGGGTTTTTTTCGATAAACAGCAAATATATTTTAAGAATTTAGTGATATTTTTTACGCATGCTCTTGCGTATAATTGTGGTATTTTCTGTTTACTGCTATCACATTTGCTATCCAAAACATCCAGTGAATAATATCTAGAATTTATTTCCACAAGTAATTTTGTTATTGAATTACACAAACATGATAAATTTGAACTATGGTTATCATGACANACAAACATGATAAATTTGAACTATGGATATCATGAAAATAATCTCCTATTAGTTTATTTAAAGAAACCAATGTTTTATACATTATATCAAACATATTAATTGACTTATGAACTGCATCAAAAATTTGACGTACCAAGTTTATATATACTGCACCATTACGTTTTATATTTACCGTTTTACAAAAAGCTAATAGGAAAATTACATATTCACAATATTTAAACAGTATTTCTGTATAAATGCACTTGATAACTCTTAATATATGTTGTTTTTTACAATGAAAATTTAATTTGTCTGCTGGGTGTCTAAGAATACGGTCTACGCTTATAACTTGATCATTAAATATAATATAAATATGTTTCAACGAATTCCATCCACTTTCTTTAGTAATTTTATGTAATTGTTCAATTACTAGTTTTTGAGTAATATTTTCAAATGAATGAATTGGAGGTTTGAAAATACTAAAAAATATATAATGTGAGATTTATTAAGTATATTTCCTCTAATTTTTTCTTTAAATAATGTCCCATAGAAATTTATAGATAAAAATTGATTTCATTTTTATGAACTATTGTGAATATTAAATATATTGTAAGAAAAAGTTATTCCAAATGTATTATTAGGAACCGATTATTAAAATACATTTTATTTGTTCATCCTAAATATATAAAATAAATTCAGTAAAATGAATTGGGGTGGGGCAAATTGAATAATGTCAATAACAGTTTTTTAAACTTTTTCATTAATTAAATATTTGGTTACATAAATATTATTTCTAAAATTATTTTTTGTATTCCTCTACAAAATTATCTAATAGATTTTCTTACCTTGCCTCATTTAATTCTAAAACTTCTTCAAAACCAAGATTTTTGTATAAATTTGTTGAAATTTCATCATAATATATTTTAAGCCATTCACTTAAATATTCACTCAATTCAATCTTTTTATTTTGTCGTGCATTATAGTCTTTTAGATTCTCTTCAAGTAAGCACTTTGGTTTATGATTGTAAACAACTGAATTACTATTCTCTTTAATTTTCTGGTAGGTCTCGATACCTTTTCCTTCGATAAAACTGTTCACGTCTAAAATGACCTCACAAGCATAATTTTTAGTGTTGGGATCGTTTGGATTGATAAAAATCTGTATATTTTGTTTAGTTTTTAATGATGCATATTCTACAAAAGTATAAATTTCATCTACTATAGGTATAGAGTATGTTTTTTTCCATTTTGCTAATAATTTAAAATCTATGTTGCTAAGATAGTTCATTACATTGTATAACTGTTCAAACATAGTTTTCGAATTTTCCACAGCACTTTGAAGTAAAACTGTACAACTTAATAAATTATCTCCCTGGTTTAAGTCGTAATATTCTTGACATTGGTTAGCTATAGCTCTAATATGATCAATAAATGTTTTAATGACTTCTGCGTACATGTAATTCAATGAATTAATTACGGCATCGAACTTTTTTGGTAGTATTGTGCGACTCTCTTTGCAAATAATGTCTTTAATATTAAAACTTGCTTCTGTAGAAGACTTAAATTCCAAATTCTGCATAAAATCCCATCCAACTTTTTCACTTATATGATCCATTATATCTGTATAATATTTCTCATATGTTTTTGGCCTTATTTTGCAGCTCACAAAACATTTTGTAGTTAGAATCCAAAAAGTATAACAAATAGAATAAAATAACTTAGGTAACATGATTCACAGTTTAACATGCAAAAACCTCATAGTTAGTAAAATTTTATTAGAACTTATTTATTTTTTATGTATAATATAAATTGTAGTATCTAACATTTTTATATTATTTTAATAATAATATTTTAAGCAAATGCAGCAATTGATAATTTTAAGTTGTTCATTCTTTGTTTAAATAATACCCTGAAATAATTTTTTTATACTTGTGTTAATTATAAATATGAATTTATGAAGTGCTATACAAATTAGTTAAATACATATAAGGAATAATTTATCATAGATAATATCCCATAGAAATGATTATTTAAAGATTATTATTTAAATGTAATCAAAAATTATACGAATGATTTTTCTTATTTTCTTATTTTATTTATCTAATTTTATTGAGGAATTTTTTTGAAAACTATATTTACTTTAATAGACATTTATCGGGAAAATATTTATGAAAACAGAACTTTTAGGAACATTATGTCTGCAGAAATTATTTATTATATATTATTTTGGAAACAATATTTACATTAATATTGATTAATAAGGTAAATATTAATTGGTAAAATATATTTCAAAACCATACTAATTGAAAAATGGATTTCAGGACGTGCTTAAAAAATGTATTACCAAATAAAAATAGGTAATACATTTTTTCTGTATATTAAATTTAGTCCGTTTTATAAAATAATATAAAAGCCTGAATAAATTGAACTATTTAATCGGCAAAAATAAAATTATTTAATTAGAAAAATCTTTATTTTTACAATAAAAACTATAGTCAATGTTATGAGATTACATCATGTGTCTATTTTTAGAGAACGCACTATTATAGTATAGTCTTTACTAAGGGTTTTAGTTATTATAATGTTTTATATTTTCTCCCTAAAAATTAATGGTAATCAATTTCATACTAAATCACTGTCAGATATACTTGTCCCATCTATACCATGTCTGCACTGTGCTATAACTTGTCTTTGCTACCGTTATTTATTTTTTTATTATTATTAATTGTAACTAATGTATTGATATAATATACAATATTATATACCTATTATAATAATTTAAAATCAGCTAGTATCTTTTAACACAGTTTCATTTTTAATTTAAACGTAATATAATATTAACTAGGGTATAGCAAGAGGATTTGAGCTGTTGGCATAACAATTGATTTTAGAGCCATAAAAATTTTAGAAAATTTCTCTATAATTAATATAAGAATATTATTGTGCAATATTCCAATTAAAATATAAATTTTATAAATAATATTTTAGTATTGTATGTTTTAGAGGCATACAATACTAAGAATTATAGTATATATATATATAAATAATATAAAAAATGCTTAATATGCATAGAAGATTTTTTTTTTAATATTTTATTACGCCACTTTCATCCATTATTTTCTTGATATATAATACTTATACTATAAAAATTTGGACTTGTTCAAACAATCCCTTCCCGTGTCGCAATGGGGTCTAAATTTTATCATATAGGGTTATTCTTTAATTTTCATATTTATTTTAATGAATATTAGACCTTTCGTTTAAATATATAGATTAAAAATTATTTAGTATTCAATTTCAAACAAAAAAATAATAAATTTTTTTAAAATCCATTATTACTGCAATAAATAAAAAATAATGTTTAAATTATAAAATTTTATAACTTTTTATCACGTTTACTATAAATAAACAATAATAAATACTAATGTTTTGCAAGATAAATAGTGTTTTTAATTGGAGACTATAGGAATTGGAGAAGTTTTACCTTTATTTCTTTACCTCACCAAAAGAATTTAAATCTTTAAAGTATTATAATAATTTAAATATTTTAATAATATTTATATTTTCATAATTTAAATTATAAATCAATAAATTTTAAAATAAAAAACATATTTAAAAAAACTATTTCATATTACTTATTTAAAAAATGAAAAAAGAACAAAAAATAATTAATAAATATGTACTATTTAGTGGGAATTATATTATATTATCGGTTGTTACATAGAAATTATTGTCGATAATTTTTTCTCCTTATGATTAAAAGTAAAAAACCCAGCACAAGGGGGTCACGGCACAGTGTTGACGTGGAGTTGGATCAAGTATAATGATATCTGACAGTGATTAAAATTACTATAAAAAAAAAA